GTTATAATATATTAACAAAACATATAATATAAACATCAGTGGCAATTGTTGTAAATTCTCTAGTAATTAAAGGTCTAATAATTAAGATGGTTGAGAAGAGCTGTAAACTTGCCACATTAGCCAAAATGGCAAAGTTGTTATTAATTTACTAATGTAAGGTTAGTCTTAAAAATTGCTTCCCTTTTAATAATAAGGGGATTCATTCAAAGCTAACCATGATTAGTGTTTATTATTTGGTAAGAGCATCTCCAATATATGCTTATATTTTTTTTTTATAAAATAATTTTTTTTATCATAGAAATTTTTATTATAAATGTGGATGTATTCTAATGTATTTTTCAATAATATATATTTTATTTTACTTCTAAATATAGAAATGAAAATAACATTTTTCTATATCTGTTTTTTTTAAAAAGAAATAACTATTATAGAAAAATACATTTGAATAAACAATCTATTATCATATCTATTTTTTTAAAATATATAAATAAAATAGAGATAAGTAACAAGTCTCAAGAATTTAAGATTAACCTGACCAAAAATGGCCAGACCATTACTTGATGTGGTATTGATATATGATTCCATCCCTCACGTTAATGTTTTTGATGAACACTTCAAAACCTTGAGCCCTACAATCTCTCATAATCATACTCACCCGATCACGTTTACACGAATGTAAAATTATTATTGTTACTACAGCTTCATACACAGTAACACACGGACATAAAAGACCGGTACATGTCTCTCTATATGTAACATTTCTAATGGTTTCACTCAATGTTGATGCGGACAACTTTCTTATCTCCACGTGCTGAACGGCTTGAACCGGTCTGAAACTGGTCTGATCGGATACGAGTTTGGTCCAGAGATGGAAGAAGCCATCCTCCAAAACTATGATCAGAGCCTGTCACATTATACATATGTAAGAATAGATCAAAAGATAGTTCTGAAACGAAGAAGAGTTTTACTAACCAGTGGATTCATGATTGGCAAGAGATGAATTGCCTTTCCATGCTTCTTCAAAGCCACTTAGTTCGTCTACATAAACAAAGAAGTCTCTCTTAGATTCTTCCCATTTTCATTCAAGGAGTACAACTTATGATAAGGATGTGCAGATACTGTAGACTAACCTTCATCGAGGTTGTGAAGAGTCTGTGTAGACTCCACACCACCACTTGAGTTAAGCTTCCTAGTAACCGAATGTCCCTAAATTTTAACACAAAAGCAACAGAGTCAAGACTCAGACAAATCAAGAAGAAATTAAGTAAAAACATCAAAAATCAACTTACCTTATCATTGATTCCTCTGGAGATCCTATGAGTGGCTTCACCTGTTGTCTTATCCGCCTCTTTGCTTTCCTCAACTACCACCTAAAAACAGAATCCAGTTAGTACTCAGAGAGTTTCCATCAAAAGAAAGTATGGAAAAAGAGAGACAAACATACTCCATCACTGCCTGTTCTTCTATTTCTACTAGATGTATAGTAAGCACCATCTATGCCACCATATGTAACCTTAGAGGTGTGATGCCTAAATGTTTTAGCTCGAGACTGCGCACCCTCTCTAACATTGAAGTTACTCCTTTGATTCACACTCTGAATCTTCCTCTCAGCTACAACCACCAAGTAAAAAATCAGACAAATACGTGAAGTTTATATTGGATAGAATTAGTAAACTAAGCTTTTAAGTACCATCAGAATCATCTTCAGGGTGCTCAACAGATGGCTGATTCTCTGAACTAGTATGTTCTTCATCACTTACAAAATCTTTTCCTTCACCTTCTTCTACTTCTTCATCAGATGGTAATTCTTCAATTGTTAACCCTCTCCCACCACCATTGTTGTTATTACCAAAGGAAGCACCTGAACTAAAGGTGTTTGGTTCGAGCAAATCTTCAAATGGCCTAGTGAAGAAGGGATCATCAAAAGGATCTCTTCCTCCAAACAAGCTACCTCTAAACGCTCCAAATTTTCCGAATCTACCACCAATTGGATCTCCCATTTTTCACAACTCTGCAATCTTTTCTCCGAATTTAGAACACAACAGTATTGATTTAACTTCAAATAGTAAACGTAAGATTATAAGAAAACCCTTTTATTAGCTCAAGAAAAATCTCTCAAAAACTTAAGCTCTCACTAAGAATCTCTCACAAACTCATAAAGGTTGTCACAACTTTAACAACTCCTTATATAGATTCGTAAAACTTCCTAAACTCATTAGGTAAGTATATTCTCTTTTATCCTAATCTCCTATATATTAGGAACTCGGTAGCTTGCTTATCAAGTTGTTGTCAAGTTTATCTCCAACAATGTCCCTCTTAAACTTGATCTCAACTTGATTCAAATCTTGAACTCCTATCAAATCTCGCATTTCTTTGTATTTGATTCTTCCCAGCGCTTTTGTCAAAATGTCTGCACTCTGTAAATTGCCTGCAACATGCTCTACTTCTACTTGCTCATTGTCAACACACTCCCTTATAAAATGATAGCGTTTGTGTATGTGTTTGCTCCTTCCGTGGAATACAGGGTTCTTGGTAAGTGCTATTGCAGATTTATTATCAATACGAATGGTTACCTTCTCAGTCTTATCTTCT